AAAAAAAAAAAAAAAAAAAAAAAAAAAAAAAAAAAAAAAAAAAAAAAAAAAAAAAAAAAAAAAAAAAAAAGAAAAGAAAAGAAAAGAAAGAAGGAAAACATTTATTTCTAAAACTTTTATATGTGTTCACTTAAAGCCATGTTATTAATAGGCGGTGAGCTGGTTTTCCTGTAATATGGAATATATCATACATGCCTTACTATAGATTTCCAATATGGGGAAGGTAGTATGACTTCTAATAAGAAACTAGGATAGAGAATTTTAGGCTGGCTATTGTGGTGCACACCTTTAATCCCAGCACTAGGGAAGCAGAGGCAGGAGGACAGCCAGAAAGGTCAAGAAACAGCATGGTAGAGAAATTCTGGTAGCAATGTCATGATTTTTTTTTTTCTCTAAAGTTCCTATATTCGGTGGTTTAATCCCAGCATTCAAGAGGGAGGGGGAGGTGGCTCTCCATGAGTTCCAGGCCAGCCAGGGCTACATGTTGAGACCTTGTCTCAACAATTTTTTTCTATATATAAAAGAGAAAAACTTCAAGATTGAAAGGAAACTGGACAAAGCATGTGACAGGTGGAAGGGTAAAATAGTTCTTACACACTGGGACTTTACTTATAGTAGCATGAGTGTCACAGAACCAGCGTATGTGATATCATGTTGTTTGGAGAGGAATGCTTCCATCCAGGAAGATCTAGCAATGACCTAGATTCTTTTCAATGAAATGCTCGAATGCTTATAGCCTTTTGTCTTGAGATTCATCTCTAGGGCACTTATTCTACACAGACAGTTGCACATAGGTAAAAGGCTTCTGGATAGAAGTATAGAATTTTGCTTCTAGTAGCAGAAAACAGAATAATAGCAACTATCTACTCAAATGGGTGGAAGGGAGTAAGTGATTTACAGAATGTCACAACACACCATCATACCACGAAGCCATAAAAAGTGAGATCCTCATCATTTTTATGGGTGGCCATCTCAAAGGTGTTCTGTGTTGTGAACAAAGTATCATCCAAAAATATTATCTATCCTGTGCTTCTAGAGTTGGCATACATGCTTGCAGATGCATTAAGCATTTTTTTAAAAATATACTTTAAAAAAAAACTGGTAGCAGTATTTGACTCTGTGGAAGGAAAATTGGTGCCAAGGGAGAAAGACTGCTTTTGCCTTTTACGACTAGATTTTGCCTTGCTTGTGTTTTTACTTATGAATGTAATGGCTTTATAAATTGCTTTATCAGTTTTTATCAACCTGTATTCTGGATAAACATTTCATAGCCACAGCGGAAACTGATGTATAACGAATGGGGGAATTTGAAAAACTATGAAATATAGTAGATTTTTACCACATAGGATTTGGAGGTGCTGATACATTGTCATAGTTGCTTCAAGCTTATTTTTTTTTAATAAAAAAAAAAACTTAAAATGTTGCAACTAAGGTGTAATTCTTCGTTTGAATCCTGTTGCTCTCTTTTCCATCCCTCAAGGACAGTGACAATCAGGACTTAACAGGTGATGACCTCAGACCACACTAACCATTAGAATGAAGTGAAGGCGGAAGGCAAGACATTGAGAACTGAAATGACTGGAAAATTGGGTTCTATGGCATCAAGAGATAGTACAAAGATAGTAGAGAGCTGGGGAAATAGCCCAGCTGGTGGGGTTCTTGCCATGCTGCATTCAAACCCTAGAAACCATGTTAGGAAGTGAGGTGAGGTGATGGAGATGTAATTCCAGCACTGGGGAAGTGGGTCCAGGCTCCTGCCCTCCCTTCCTTCAGTGATGGGGTGGGACCTGGAAGTGGCAACCCTCTCCTCCCCAACTTGCTTTTGGTCACGGTCGGTGTTTTGTGACAGCAGTAAACCCTAACTAAGACGTGTGTGCTTGGCCTACCAGCCCCGGTGCTGTCTGCTCTTTGTGCAACTAGCTCAGCCCCGTCTTCTAATCACCTCCTTGTGGCATGTGCTGCTGAAACAAAGCCTCCTCAAGCATCCGTTGGGCACTTAAAGCAGCCGGGAACATCAGAAGAGGTTGCTTGGTCGAGAGCATCTGTAGTTTCCACAGAAGTAGTGGGAGTGGGGTGGCACAATATCCCAGCAGGGCGAGCCACTCGGCGCCAAGCCTGATAACTCAGTTTGATCCCTGTTAACACACGTGTTGAAAAGAGAAAGCAGAGCCCACAAGTTGTCCTCTGATATCCAATGAGTTCGCCTCCTTGGCGCGCGCGCGCGCGCGCGCACACACACACACACACACACACACACACACACACACACAATTTTTAAGCATTAAAAAGTCTGGGCCTGTGAGGATGACAGTGACAGCTCTGGGATCTGGCAGTCCTCTGACCCACTTTAGGTAGTTCCAACTAACCTTCCATCACTTACAGCCTCAGCTGTTTAAAAGAGGTTTCTTAGTATTTGTAACAGAGATCTGTCAGGTCCCAAAGGCTCACTCAGTACCTGTGGCTCCTCCAAGCCCTCCTCACCTTGCTCCATACCTGAAACCTCTCTACTCCAGAGTCTGGGCTTCCCTCCCCTTCCCCCAGCTTCCCATTCCTACACAAACCTTCCATTTCAGCCACGTGCTCTCAGTCCTAGGCTCTTCTCTTGGTCTTCATGCCCTCCCTCTTCTAACCCCGCCCCCTCTTCCTCGCTCATACCCCCTGCCCCTCTTCCCTCATGGCCAGGTTCAGTCTGGTCCTTTCCCGAGGCCTCTGGTTGTGCTCTTCCTCACAGCTACGATAAAACCTTTTTTTTTTTTTCAACCTTACCTAGAAACAGTCAGGTCCTCATTTTCATTCAAGATCTAAGTAACATTAAATACTTTTTCCCCAGTGGATTTTATTTAGTATTTAACTTCTAGCCAAATGCCTTTACAGACCGACAGTGCATCCCCTTGGGAAAGACTCAGCTCCCTCATCTGCCTCATAGTGACACCTGAAAAGGGTTGCAAGGCTGAGACAATTGTGTAGTTTTGCTGGACCAGACACCACAATCTCTCTGCTATTTTCAGGTATAGAAGAGGAGATTCACTTCCCCCTGCCCCCCCTTCTGTGAAACAGTTTTCAAATTAAATCAATTTAAAGTAAAGGCAAAATTCACAAATATGAAAAAAAAGCGTTAAGCGTTTGCAGGGTCTCTGCCTCCCCTCCTTCCATTTTGGGGGAAAAAACCTAACACTGTGAATGCTGTGAGCTTGAATCTTGGTGAATGCAAAGCCAAATAAGCGGAGTAGAGAAGGATTGCCTGCAGGAGACGAACACAGGAGTCTTTCCCAAGAACAAGGCTCTTCTCAAATGAAAGAAGTCTGGGATTTTTATTCAGGGGTCCCCGTATCCACTCATATGGGGGTGGGCCGGTCTTAGTTACTTTTCACCATGACCAAGACATGTACGCGCACGCAAACGCGTGCACACACACACATTAATTTGGGGGCTCACAGTTCCAGAGGGTTAGAATTATGACCATTATGGTGGAGAGCATGGCAGCAGGCAGGTGGGCATATGTAATTGCTAAAGTTAAGTTTTAAGTTTAAATTACTATGCTTAAGACGAATATAAGACAAAACCACCTCTAGCCTGTAGGTCCCACTTGTTCAAGGACAGACAACTTCCTGGAATGCTGGGGGCCTGTTCATGTAAAATAACAAGCCCAGTGTATTCACTTCTATAAAAAATCATGGTGGCACCCATTGCATGGGATGTATGCTTGATCATATGTAGGCGGGAGGTACATCAGGATGAATGTTCATCCCTGATTGGATGAAGACAGGAAGTATGTATCCTTATGGAGTTTGCCTCCATAAGCCCATGTCTATTGTAATTTGGAGCCATATTCCCAGAATCCTGGGTAAGGGCATGGCCAGTATTCATGGACATGGAAAATATTTAATAAAGCTTGCTTCAAATTTGGCTCCAAACTTGCGGTGATGCTCTTATATATTCTTGCCGGTTGGGATTAATATTTTCTGGAGGCCCCATTGAGAACAGACTACCCAAGCAAATTCGGAAGCCAGACTTTCAGTCTTAGACTCTGGGGTTGAAGGACCACCTCAGGAGACACAACCTTGAGACTTTCCAAGCATACTTTTGGTTTCAAAGACTCTCAGAGTGCACTGCTATGCTGAGAGAAGCAGCAAGCATCTACGGAG